TCTGACTTTAGTGAGGAATGTAAATAACTTCATCCTCTGATTTCTCGTAGGAGATGTCCTTCACCGTTCGTAGGACAGACTAATTACAAGGCTTTTTATGTCCTACAACGCCTCCATGATCTTGTAGAATGAGCTAGCTATAAAACATTTCCCAGATCCAACTAATCCAACCCCTCTAAGGAAGGTTGGAAACACCAAAACCATGGAAAATTGGGATTCTAACCCACTATGATTTAGATCTAGGGTTTATAACGGGAAGTCACTTGCATTTGTAAAAGATTTGGCCTCGAATGAGCTTCTTAACATAAGGTTTCCTCTAGAAAATCAATAACCCAAGCCTAGTATTCTCTACAAACATCCTAGGGTTGGCTAAGAAAGAAAATGTAAAGGGTTTTAGGGAATCTCACCACCGTGGTGATTGATCTACGTCCCGAGCCTATGTCCCCGATGAAGCTCTCCTAACAATAGGAGAGAAGCCGAAGCAAGTATTTAACCAAGGTAATGAGGAAGCTCTCCTCTAGGAGAAGAATCCAAAGAGATTCTGATAAGTTCTGCACTCCATCAAAGTTTCAGCAATGCTCTGGTGATCCTTTCCCGATCTAGGATGAAGCTCTCCTTCAATGTAAGAGAGTAGAAGCTTGTTCCTTATTAGCCAAGCTTCTCCTCAAGAAGATCTCTTCAAACACTCAAGTGAAGTGGATGAAGAAGAAGGAGGTGATGAAGGAAAAAGGACGAAAAAGAAGAAGGTTGAAGATGACCAACTCTCTTAGCTCTTCTCCTTAAGGAAGATGAATAATCTCCCTCTCTTGCTCTAAGCTCTAAACTCAAATAAACTCTAAACTCCTTGAGGAAGAAGATAAAATTCTTCCTCTAGTCCTCTGAAGCTCTCACCAACAACCCAAAATTGAAAATGAGTGGAGATTGGGGCAGAAATGAGAATTTTCTAGGTTAAAAGTAGCTCACTCAAGAAAATCCTCAACTTGCCCTTTGTTTATGCTAAAAATGGGCTTGCCACATCATCTAAAGACCCATTCAAAAGAGGCTTAATCATCTCTTTTACTTCCCCAAAAACAAATCTCCCCAAAATTAAGAAATCCCATCCATTTTGGCTGAATAGGGGAACAAAAAATCGTGGGAGAAAATGAGTCCATATTTTGGACAGGCACCTAGGCAACACAACCCTAACACCTAAGTGACCAGTTTAACTCTAGACCCCTGGTGCCTACTTTCCAAGGGCTGTGGAAAGTAGTTGTTTTTGAGATGTTTGGGTGCCTCAACACTCTAGACCAACTCCTAGATGCCCAATTTGGCATCTAAGCGCTAGAAATTGGAATCAGACTTCTGTCCCCTTGGGTTTTAAGCCCCTTAAAGGCTGTTTTGGGCGCCTAGGTGCCCGAGCTGGCCCCAAAAATGCCAATTTACATCGGGAGTGTCAAACAGAGGGGTTTCTCAATCTAAAAGTTATGGGAGATCACATTTGAGTAAATCATGTCTTTTAACTTAAAAAATGAGAATTTTTTTGTTCAGAGAGGTTCCTAAACACTTGGGTAATACATTCCAAACCCAAAATTTTCAAAATGCATGTAGGAGGGCTTCGTGAATTCCCTCCGGAGAGGCTCCGAATAGATACAGAGAGGTTCCTAAACACTTGAATGGACATCAAACATGCCAGTGTCCTAGGTGAGCTTGCCTAACTACGGGTTCTCCCAGGCGGGGTAGAATCATTGTGGACTCTGATTTCGTGCCATGAACAAGTACCGAAGGTCTCAGATGGATGTCTTGAGCTACAATATGTTATGGGTGAGCAATGAGTGATCCCAAGCCAGTCAAGTGGACACCCTACATAAGTGGCATAAAAAAATTGACGCCAACACACCCAATAGTGATTGATGTATAAAATTGGGAATAAATAGCCATCAATCATCATCAACTCTCTACTTGATAATAAAATTCATGAAACATATGAAAACTCTTCTTCGCAAGTGATGCATGTAAGCTTGAGGCACATTTTCATGCTTATATACAATGAAAAAGAGGCCTAGACTCAATCCTTAATTTTACATACCAAGCAAATAATGCAAAAACAAAAAAAAAAAAAAGTAATCAATCTTTTGCAATGAATGCACAGGAAGAAAGAAAAAAAAAAGAAGAAGAGAAAGATATGATCTGATTAGTCAAGATAACTTGCCAAAAAATAGATCACAACACTTTTGTTTGAATTGTTTAATCTCTAGTGATAGATAAAGCGACATCTTCTCTTATCATATATTCCTTAGAAAAGTTTGATATCTGTCTCAAATGCATCAAATTTTTTATCATATGCTCATTCTCCAATATATTTTCATGCTAAAACAAATCAGAAAATAAGGGAGAAATATAATCATTTCTACATTTATAAAATCTTTGCAAGTGTTAAAAAATAATTTTTATAGAAAAAAAGTAGTTCATTTCACCTCCTATCTTAGCTCAATCATGTTGCCTTTATTTAGTTTCATGAAGGCAAAGCTTGTCAAATTTAATGTATCATTTTTTATAACTGAAAACTAAAAGTATTTATACATAGATATATGCCCCTTGGTTAAGGATGCATTTGCAATATAGATGGTTACAATAACCATAAATTAATCAGTGTCTATCATGTTCTAATATCTATATACAAATTCCTTTGTTTTCACTCTCCACCAAAATGTTCTATAAAGTCAAATGAACAAAAAGGTAGACGCATCATGAATTGTTCAACTTTGTGACCATGATGAATGTAATTGAAAATGAAATAAACTAATTTCCAATTCCATTTTGTATGACGATTTCTTCTAAGTTGTTAGAACTGAATATTTGTTTTTGTCATTTTTTCAATCTCTTTTGTTACATTTAGCCACTTTTTATTAACAAAATGATTGGGATGGCTCTTGATTGAGCAAAACATATTCTTAATGAAGCTCTTAGTTCATGGCTGATAGTTTTTGGGAATTAAACCTTAAAGTTTAGACTGACTTTTAATAAATATACCATGTATTTATAAATTATGCCTCTTGTAGTGATTTAATTTATTATTTATATAGAATACCGGTGTCATAATACACATCCGATAAGATATGCGCCAAGCATGTAGTCTGTGTTTGATTAAATTATAGTAATAAATAACATATTTATTGTAAATATTTTTTATTTAATGGAGTAGTGATGACAGCAGGTGGCGGAGGAATATATATATATATATATCTGTGTGAGCGGGTGCGCGCCCCGTTCCTCGTCTCTTTAGTTGGCATCTGCTATATCAGTTCTAAGTCCCCTAGGATCGAGGGTTTGATTTCGTTGGTGTGTGGATCAGTTGAGTGGTTTGGCACATGAAGTTGATTTGGGGCTCGTATCATAACCTCTGGACAATCTCATGTGTGTGTGTGTGTGTGCCCCGTACTTTGACCTGTTGGTTGACATTCTCGGTGTAAGACCCCTCAGGTAGGGCAAAAATTTTTCTGTGCGGACTCCTGACGTACCTCTAGGTGCAGCGCAGGTTATTCCTGAGTTATTTTCAGGTTATTTCTGGGCTATTTTCAATAATCCCGAAATAACTCAGAAATAACCCAAAAATAAAGACGGCACGTAGAGTTACGTCAGGTGTCCAGACAAAAAATACGCATCAGATCGGGGGTTCGAATCCCCTCTGACACAGTTGACCTTAAGAAATTGGTAATCAAACAGTTAGGAACATTAGGCGTGACTGGAGGCTCGTACAATAGCCTCTCGTCATTCCTTTTAAGTATATATATATATATATATTAATGATGAATGTTTCCATATTAGTATTATATCATATTCATGTTCTCATATCTATACTATTACATCAAAATATGAAAGCAAACTTGTTGCTTTTCTAGGTTTTTTTCCTGTCAATCTTTAACCTCTTTAATTAATAATCCGAGCTTACTTAAGAAAATTGGACTCTTACCCCTCAACTTTATTATTATTGTTTGCTTGGAGTGTGCATCAAACTGGACATGTAAAATAATATTTGATAAATTGCAGCCAACTACTTCCAAGTTAGAATTGAAATTATTATTCATTTTGGATAGAATTGTAATTTGTGTTTTCATTAATGAATGATAATGAATAAATCATAAAATATGTGAGCTTAAACTTAGTGGGGCATTTACATGCATATACATTTATAAATTTAACATCAAAATTTTAATATTTACCATATAACACTCAAATCTTTAACATCACATAGAAAATCACTATTATTCTCTTTATAAAAGGTGAAATAAAACTATTCATGCATATATTTATAGAGCCAAAATATTATAAATGTATTTATGCTCATGAAAACAAACCATGCCAGATATCTCTAATTTAACTCAACCATCATATTTATTTAATTTATAACCGAAACCACAAAAACTCGTGTAAATAATTTTCCTCACAAAATAGAATAGAGCGCATATTACGTCAGGACTCCGAACGTAGAGCTACATTCAGACAAGAATATTTCGTTGTGTTGCAGGAATATTCCATATGTGTTATTTGTAAAAAATGAAGTATTATTTCTATTAATTTGCGGTGTTATTAGAATATTCCACCGCATTACTTGATTTTGGAGTTGAAGTGTTATTGGAATATTTCACCCAGTTCTGGAATTGAAATAAAACGTGGAATATGTCGAATAACACAACCCCAAATCAAGTAATGCGGGAGAATATTCCAATAACATCACAAAGTAACAATAACACCACTAAGAAATTGAATAACAACACATAATACTCGAATAACACTTCATTTTTTACAAATAATTCTAAATAACACAAATGAAATATTTTTGTAACACAATGAGATATTTGTAACTATTGCAATCCAAATGTAATTCTACGTTAGGAGTCATGATTTAATATTTTTTCAATAGAATAAAACCTTAGACCAAAATTCTAAAAAAAATAAATAAACAAATCCATCACTTTCACAATCTTAAAAATAAAAATGGCACCTTCCGTGTCTCATCCCGCACCCCCTCTTCCCTCTCTTTTTGTTGCGTGCTTTCTAGTCCATGGAATTGAAGAAGTCAGCCTCTAGCCCATAATAGAATAACCCCCCCTCTCTCTCTCCCTCTCTCTCTCTCTCTCTCTCAAAACTGAAGAACCTGCTCAGTTCATCTTCCTTTCATGATTGAAGCTTAGAAGAAGAAGAAGAAGAAGAAGAAGAAGAAGAAGGTAGGTACCAAGATCATGTGCGACTACTTCTGTCAAAGAATGGATCAGAACAACCAGGGAGACCTCACCGACATCTTCCGTAACAACAACCGCACCAACAACGACACGTGGCATCTACTCCCAGAACCAGCCGCCGCCTTCCCTCCATCTTCCAACAACTTTGGAGATCCCTTCGTTGATGTCAGAGACCCTTTGCTCCATGAACTCAACACAACCAATTTCTTCAACTCGTCGGATGCTAGTGCTTGCAGTGATGACCAGAAGATGCTGCTTGAGGAGGAGGGGAAGAGTAGCATCTTCTCAAGGATGTTGCAAATATCTCCGGTGATAGCCGGAAAGATGTCGGCGGAGATCGGACACCCGCGGCTTGTGCCCGGAGATTGCGGTGGAGGGTTGCAAATCTCATCAACGAGAGTGCAAGGGATCAAGAGAAGGTTGGTTGGTTTACTAATTGAATTACTTGGTCGCTAGGTTTTTGTTTGAATTGGAAAAGAAGAAGAAAAAAAATTGAATTTTAGTATTTTATAAGTGATTATGAATCTTCAATGATTGATTTTATTTTATTTTGTTTTATTTTTTTCATCCTCTTCTTATTTCTTGCTTGTTGATGATAATGAAGTCAACATGAGATGAAGAAGAAGAAAATTATTAGGATTAAGATTTATCAGACTTGAATCGGACAAAAGGGATCTCCTTTTTTCTATTTGAAGGCATAAAAATCAGAACTTTGGGATTAAGGAATTGAATTGAAGCATTTTTTTTTGCTTGTTTGATAGAATCTGATATGATTAAGTTTACAGAATAAGAAAAAATTAAGAATTATAAAGAAAATTTGCATACTAAAATGCGTTTTTATATATTTGTGTGGGAATATAGGAAAAGTCAGGTGAAGAAAGTGGTATGCATACCAGCGCCAGCTGCGGCAAGTGGTAGGCCAAGTGGAACGGGAGAGGTGGTTCCTTCTGATCTATGGGCTTGGAGGAAGTACGGCCAGAAACCGATCAAAGGGTCTCCTTATCCAAGGTTTTTTTTTATTTATATATAAAAAGATGAAATCTTTTTTGAGAAAAAAGGGGTTTTTTATAAATATTAGCTTTTGTTTTTTTATTTTATGGGTGAGAAGGGAGGTAGCACATGAACATGTTAAAATTCAAGTCAAAGCGACAAGATTAAGATGGATAATTTTGAAGGGGAAGCATCAGTATTATTTCCCTCGCTCTTCTCTCTCTCTCACACACAGTCATGATTCCTTCGATCTCACTTAATCCAAGGTTCAAAATCAGATGTTCATTATCTTATACCTCTCTCTCTCTCTCTCTCTGTCCAACTATAAATACATATGTGAGAGAGAGAGAGAGAAGAAAATTCACAATTCTCCTTTTACCAAATTTTAATTAAGAGAGAAGGAACAATGAATAGGCATCTCTCTCCCTCCCTCTCTCCCTCTCTCTCTCTCTCTCTCTCTCTCTCTCGTTTAAGATTATATTACATTGCATTCAGAATTAAACATTTATATAATTAATGTGAATTAAGATAGGGTTTCGGCTTAGAAAAAAACATATCCTTTGTCCGGGTTGAGACATATGAAAATTTTATATTGATGGAAGAGAATTTGGGTTGTCTTCTAATTACTACACAATGAAGTCAAAATCTTTAATCTCATAAGAATAATATTTTATTTAATCAATTTATGAGCATCTCATTGCCATGTTTAATTAAGATCATCCCACCTATATATTAGCTACTTATGGTATCATCAAATATATATTAAATATTACTCTTTTTTCAATCATAGCAACATTTTATTTTTATTTTTATTTTTTAATCTCACAAATTCCATGTGCTCTTTCTTTGAAATACCTAACAAGCAATTTTTTTTAATTAGAAAAAAAATTTAGTCTTATGAAGTTAATTGTTCAAATAAAGAGCACATGAAGTTAATTGTTCATTAAGTTTAGTAATGAGTCTTATTTTCACATGGGAGGCAGTTGTTAGCAATAATAGCATGGTACTTGGTTAGTATAAGAGAAAATATGTCAAATTTATGAAGTATAATTCATCTTATTATAATTTTATTTTAATTAATTAATCATGTACCCTTTAAATTAAAAATTGTCTGACAAAATTAAGTTATAAAACGTGCTGTACAAATATATGTTCAGTAACAGTCTAGTTAGAAGAAATAAATAGATATATGAATAGTGTTAACAAGACTCTTGAGATGAATGCATAAAAGATAGTTTATAGATGCATAACAATACTTAAATCATTAATATCACATCAAAAATAGCTCTACCAACATGCATGACACAATACTACTTGTATCTTACTGATAAAATTTCATGAAATTCAGAGGGTATTATAGATGCAGCAGCTCAAAGGGATGCTCGGCAAGGAAACAAGTAGAAAGAAGCCGGACAGATCCGAACATGCTGGTCATCACGTACAGCTCCGAGCACAATCATCCATGGCCGACTCAAAGGAACGCTCTGGCAGGTTCAACAAGATCTCAATCTTCAAAAATCAATAATCCTTCAACTTCGAGAAGCTCCCCTCATAACCTAAACCAGTTAAAAAACATAAAAGAAGAGCACAAGGAGTGTTCAGGCTCTGCCATCCAGATAGTAAAGGAAGAAGAAGGATATGAGATGGAGAAAGCAGCTTTGTTTGATTCTCAAGAACATGATTTTGATGATTTCTTTGCGGATTTGGCTGAGCTTGATTCTTCTGATCCCATGAATCTTATTTTCAGTAAGTTGGATGGTGAGGAGAGGGGAAGAGATCATAAATCCATGGATCCCTTCAATATATTTGATTGGGGAGGAGAAGAAGGAAAAAAAGGCTTCGTTTGAGAAAGCTTTTCAGCTGCTTAATTCGCTTTTCAAAAATCTCTTATAACGGATAGTTGAAATTTGTGCATGAAACATGCAAAGATTGATGGTAAGAAATAGACCAATTTCTGCAGCTCAGCACATCACAGGACAAGACAGCAGAAATAGTACAGCATGAAGCCGTTTATAATGTTATATAATTTTCCTTGAGGTCTGCTTATGAACCTTTACATTAGTTTAAATTTTACTTTTTGAGACAATTTTCTTACATTTTGTGTAATTTTTTTCTTGTTAGTTAAATAATAATTTGTAGGTTAAAGATTAAAAAAAAAAAGAATATTTTTTATTTTATTTTTTTCAATTGAGATATTGGAAGATGGGACAAGAAGCTGAGGAACAGAAGCTTTGAACAGTTGGGGGGCAAATACATGCATGAGAGGTAATTGAATAAAAAGCATTACAAGGAAGGAGTGTGTGGTTTCATTCATATGTTGTTTAAGCAATTTAGTCCTTCACTCTTCTTTATTTTTCATCTCTATCATTTTTTTTCTTCCCTTTATGCTCTTTCAAAGTGGGGGTCTATTAATTGATCTATATAATGATGAACATAATGGAATGTGTGGCCTCACTTTCTTGCTTTTGAATGAAAAGGAGTTACATATTTTGCTCTAAATTATCAAAAATATGAGGTGAGAAATGGCCTAATTGATGGGAGAAGACTACCCTTATTTTTCCTTAACTTTTTGTATGGCATCTTTTAGTGATATTCAACAATAAAGGCCTATTTTTAAAGTGCATCAGTAGCTATTTTCTTTTGGCAATAATACTTGCAAGTCCTTTATGTAGAAATTCTCAGTTTATTGATTTATTTGGGGCACTTTGTGATATTTTCAATTATTTTGTCTCATTAAATCAATCTATTTTAATAATTCCTTCAAGACAGCAATAATACTTGCAAATCCTTTATGTAGAAATTCTCAGTTTATTGATTTTTTTTGGGGCACTTTGTGATATTTTCAATTATTTTGTTTCATTAAATCAATCTATTTTAATAATTCCTTCAAGAATGTAGCAATGAAAAGATGTCATGAATTGATGTGAGAGGACTCATAGGCTCATCCTATTGAGAAAGCACTATAGCAAAAATAATTTATTACCAATAAATATATTAGTCAAAAAAAGCATTTAGGAAGAATTACATATAGAGGATACAAAATATTGATATTTATAAATCAAGTACCCGTTGATTTAATTCTATTAACTACCAACCCCTTGAAGATTTATTTCTCATCCTGACTTATTTGGTTAATTATTAGGACAAGCTTGAGCACCTATCTCTCTTTCTCGAGAAAATATTACATTATGTACGAACATGAGTGGATGGGCTAGTCACGTCAATATAATTTTATTTATATATGATTTCGCCTTCCCATTCTCTCTTCTCCGCACATATTTATAAAGTATGTTATTCTCTTGCTGACTTGATTGTTCGGCCCAAAAATTTTAAATATATTTGATTATTTGAAGAACATTGCTCAAAATTGTTAGTTCTTATTTGATTTGACCCCTACTAGCATGATCATCTCCATGCTTTAGTCTAGTATTGATACTCCCCACCATCCACTTTTATATTAAGCTCCTGCCATATAGCATATGATATAAATATGTACATACATGCTCAAAATATGCTGATTTTAGGGGAATAAGAAATATTTTAATCCACAACATATCATTCAGATCAATTTATGTACGGATAAGTAGAAATTTTGAATAATTAAACTCCATTTATGTGTCAGAAAAATAAATATTTCCTTACATTAACACCCCTATAAAAATATTTGAAGAAATTTCAGATTAATTTTTGGTTTTGTAGGAATCGTCAGTGTTAATTACCTCAATATTATGAAGTTTAAAAGTTAATTTTGATTAATCATTGATTTGATTATGGTACCAAAATTGACTTGTTGCATATGTGATGCCCAAAGTCATATTTATATATTATATATTGGGAGTACAATCTGGTTCAATCTGTGATTAGGTGAACTAAAATCATTAATTACAAGCTACATTATTTTTATTTTATTATTTTTTATTTTTTAATTTCCCTCCATTGCATTATGTATTCAAAGAGGAGTGCTGCTTTACTCAACCAACTCCCCTTCCTTCTTTTTATGCTAGGTGAGGATATTAAAAGGCCATTAAATTAAGAATGGGGCATTTACATACATAGCACTCAATTTCTATGTATTTACATATTTAATATTTACAAATATATCACTGAAATCTTTAATATCTATCAACCTCACTAAATATTTCACTAGTTGAATCCATCAAAGATAAGACAAATGATGAATGACGAATATGATAATTACAAAACTGCCTAAGGAGGGTCAACATTTCCCAAGGGATGGACCTTCATGATCAAAAAGAGCAAGCACAATAAAGATGATGAATTATTGGTGCGACTCACAATTTAAACCCTTGCCTCGATGACGGCCGACATTGGAGAAATGACATTTGATGGCAAAACAAACTATGCAAGCGCATTTGGATTGTCGAGATGGTTCAAACAAGTCTATTCAAGTCTAAATCGGGCTTTGTTTGATGCACGTCAAGGATTAAATATTGATCTTATTTGAAAATTATATAAACTTAATATAAATTTATATACTCATATATTAATATTACATATATTTTTATTTATATATAAATATATAAGTTAATATATTTTTATATATTAATAATATATAATTTTCAAATTTGAATTTTAAGTATTCCCTCCATAAATTTTGCGAATTATTATGATTCAATTCAAAATTATTCACTTCCTACTTAAGCCCTACACATTAAGAATGTATTAAATCTTAATTTGGGCGATAAAAAAAAATTTGAGAATATTCGAGTCTCATGGAATGAATATAGGCCAAAGACACGAAAATTGCATGCTTTCAACGAGTACTCAAAAGTTGATAAGTTGGGAGGTTTTTTGCATCTGTGTTACATTGAAATTGGTTAACGACGAGCTTTGAGTGCCTAGTAGTGGTTGCATGTCTCAAATAGTATCGGTCAATCTCTCTTCTAAATACTGTTTGCATCTGTCTTACATCGAAATTGGTTAACGACGAGCTTTGAGTACCTAGTAGTGGTTGCATGCCTCAAATAGTATCGGTCAATCTCTCTTCTAAATACTAACTTTCAACCCCAAAAGACAAATATGCACAAAACAAAAAGAGATTCTGTTATAGATATGTTTGCCAAAAATAAATTTTTTTGGCTTTCACCTTTTAACTATCACTACCACAAGACAATGCATTATTAAAGTTGACATTTTTTCCCCACTAAATG